TGCAGTCACGCGACGTAATCGGTATGAAATAGCCCCTGAAAGATGGCGTTCGGAGACTTTTGGCGGGGGTCTGTATTTCGGTCAAATCTCTTAATTCCTCTAGGACTTCACCTGGGTCCATGTTGTTTGCAGCAGAAAACTTTTTTACCAGATTTTTATCACTATAGCAGCGACGACAGTCTCCTTTTATAAGATCGATGGATGGGAATCGTTCATTACACACAGGACAATCTTTATGTTTAAGTTTACCAATCTCTTTGCGAAAATTTTGTAGAAGTATTTGATCTGATTCCGGAAGCTGATAGTTGACAATATTCTGATGATTATTTTCATCTTGCCAGTTAAAACATTCATTCAATATTTTCTAGAGCATTCTCTTCTTAATCTCATCTCACGCTGTTCTGGGGTTTCTGATGACTTTTCATCCGTTTATTTTCTCGATCTTTTGCACAACGTATATCACGATGTTCATCTGATTCATTTTCTCTGGATTTGCGTTTTTTTTAAAAAAAAAAAAATAATAATAAAAAATAACTCTTCTCCCCAAAGTTCTTCCTGTAAAGACCATGAGGGAAAATTAAACATATTATCAAAGTTATCAAATGAGTTTGGACGACTTCTTTCTAGCGGTGATAATTTTGATGTAATCATTAAAGCTGGAGAAGGTCAAAATATGAAAAAGTTCATTGCACATTCATTAATTTTAGGAGAAAGGTGCATTTTAAGACCGCATTGTCAAAGGAACGGGCAAAAAGATGATGGAGTTATCATTTTTAAGAAACCCAACATTTCTCCGGATACATTTGAATTATTATTAAAGTTCTTCTATACTGGAATGGTTGACTTGGATAATCAAAACGGTGTACAAGTGTTGAAACTTTATAGAGCAGCTGATGAGTTGAATCTTCGAGAGTTAAATGATTATATTCGACCTTACTTGATCAGTAATCAAGCTGAATATTTAAGAAGTGAACCATCCCGTTAAAATTCTTCAAATCGTACTTCAATATGAAACCTTTGAAGATTTAAAAAATTATTGTTTAGAAAATGTTTGCAAAGATCCTAAAGTTCTTTTTGAATCTCCAAAATTTACGTTATTAGGAATCGAACACATCTTTCCATTCTAATGTGTGACCTCGAAATGGAAGAAATTGTATTTGGAATTATATTCTCAAATGAGGAATGTCAAAAATGTCCACTCTATTGGATGTTGATAATATATCTCGCTGGACATTAAATCATTTTAAAGAATTGGAAGGGTTACTTCCTGATTTGATTCCACTTATTAGATGGTTTCAAATTTCCTCAAAAGACTTTTGGCGGAAAGTTAGTCAATTTGAACAAATCTTACCAAAACAATTATATAAGGTCATTATTTAGATCCAGAAACACCACCAATCAGCGTAATTTTACCTTTAAGAGGCAATAATCTCAGATAAAAAAAGGCAAATCTTTTTCCTGTTCTAAGTAATGTTTATGGGTAACCCGAGGCAAACTACTTTCGACATTTCAACGGGTGGCAAAGTTTTCGACGGATGGTTAAAATGTTTTTCTGTTTCAAAAAAAATATAACTTCATTTAATAAATCCAAATGAAAGAAAAAAATTACTAATTGGGTAGTTGGAATTGTTGACGTAAATTTTGAACACAGTTTCTTTAATTAAACTCAAAGACATTTTTAAAAATCAAAAAAAAGTAACTATCTATGTCTTGCTTTTAAACATATAAACTTTGTTTTATTAAATCGTTACAAAGTTTTCATTTTACCTTCGAAGTTAGAACAGTGTTGACAATTGGCCATTTGGTCGGAGGTTGGCCATAGCCGAATGGCCAAAAAATTCGTTGGCCGCGGATTAAATGGTACTTACTTTATTTGTGTTTATAGTTTAAGCGTTGGGCCGCTTTGGTTATTCGTAAAAAAATCTTTTGGTCGTCAATACGGGATTAGGGTTAGCAGGTTAGGGGGATATGGGAAAGAATCTTATACTTCGAAGTTATTATGTGGTCGCCTGCAATTACAATCGTATCTGAAGTCACATGACATGTGACACTAATTTTCCAGTGGGAAATTTTTCTTAATTGAATATAAACCTCTCTATTCGACAAATCGTGAAAATAATAAGCATTTTTGAAACTTCTCGCAAAAACTTATTGAATTATTATTATTGCAGAAATAAAATAAAAAAATAATAATACATTTTTTTATCCGCAAAAAGAAAATCTTAAAACATCTATACCCCCAAAAAGAGGTCTAAATATATCTTAGTAATGCTTTCATCATAACGAAGTTTTTACAGAGTATTCTTATCAGGATCTCAACCAATAGAAATTTTGTATTTTTTGCTCTCCATGCTTATTTACATGTATCCTAAATATAAAGTTTCAACTGGATAGAAGCTTTAAAGTATGCATTCGCGTAAATAAAAATTCAATAAATAATAGATAAAAGTGGAATGACAACCGTAGCAATAATCGCGTCCATAACTGAGAAAAGAAGCTAAGCGAGGAGAAAATCAGACAAGTCAAACTCATTTTATAAAGCTTGGAAGTTAGCTGTTACATTATTCCGTTACATGAGTCGAATTTCGTAAAAAAATTTTTGAATCTTCAAACATGATGCTATAATACAGTATATAAAGGATAGACTAATTAAAGATCAGTTGATTAAGGTCTTTATTTCTTAATCATGTGTGCGACGTTCCGTACCGTCAGATTGATCGGATGGATCTGATGAATCCAATGAAAAAATTTTAGTTTTATTCTTTTTTTATTTTTTAAAAAAAATTTACTCCGAACTTGACATTTTAGGAACGTTCTTATTTATTTATAGAACGCTAAACTGAAAGGTTCGGAATCTTGAAACATTGGAACCGATCGATGGTAAGTCCAAATGGTGAATTTGTTGATATCCTTTCTTTTTTTAATTTTTAAAAAAAAAACTTAACTTAAATAGACCGATCCGGAACCTCTAATCCTTGAAATCTTGAGGCTTTATTTTTTTAAAAAATAAAAAAAAATTCTAACGAAAATAAATTAATGTTAGTTTTTTAAAAAGTATAAAAATAAAACCAAAAAAATCTAACAAATATTCTATTAGGACTTACTTCCGATCACATATTCAAAGGCTCAATGAGAATTAATGTTAGCTCAATTAAATAATATAATAATAATAATAAATAATTAGCAATTAGAATTTACCTCCAATTTGATTTAAAGTTTTCGGGCCGTTCTACAAGGTATGCTAGGTATGCTTGTAAATATTAGTTTTTTTTTATTATTCCATTAAGAATTACCTACGATCCAAGATTCTAAAGTTTCAAGGTTTCGGACCGTTCTACAGAGGGTAAGAATTAATTTTTAGAATTTGTATTTCTTTTTTTTAAAAATAGAAAACAAAATAACTAACGAATTCCTCAATTGGAACTTACCTCAAATCAATGATTTCAAGATTGAAAGTTTCCAGTTCGTCGTAAAGAAACGTTAGGAAACGTTTCTAAAAGATAAATTGCTAAAAAGAGAAGAGAATCCTTACCTCAAGTCCGGTTTGTTCAAGTCCGGTGGTCCAGTATTTTAAAAACGCGTTTCTAAAAAATAAAAATTTATATCCGGTCAATAGATCAGGTAGCAAAACAATAACTCGCGCGTTCTTAATAATTTCAAAAGTCACGGGACAGCCGATAATATCCGAGACTTTTCCGAGAACATTTATAAGGATTTGGAAAAGCCAACCCACATTTTTTTGAGTAAAATATTGTGTCGCGACATTCGGAACACGTCTGAACGTTGCGATTATGCAAAATGATCGTCCGTCCGTCCCGTGACTTTTGAGATTTATCACTTCTGTATGTATATCTTTTTTATTAACAAAGTTGGTAAATTCAATAAATCTTTCTTTTTCTTTTATGTAGGAACTGAACAAAACTCGGTTCTAGCCCCTTTTTCCATGAAACTCGTTTTCAATAGTATTTGAATAAAAATTTTCAAAATACATATTATGGCTACTATTCGTTATGAATTAATCATCGCCGCGATAGATAAATCGTATGCATTAACAGACAATAATGTTGATGATAATATGGACAAAAATCATGAATCTAGAAAGAAAATAGTTCTTGCTGATAAAGTTCTTACAAAAAGCGAAAAATCAGAAGCGATAAGTAAGTTGAATGAACTTCATGATCAAAATAAAGTTATTTTTAATGAAAGATTATGTGAAAATTGCAAACAAGAATGTTTGGCAACTACATATTGTGAAAATTGCATTCGAAACTATTTGAAAGAAAATTTTTCAAATTGGACATCAGATAATGAAAATATCGATAATTTAGTACGGAAATGTCAAATTGAAACTATTGGTCCAAAAAATGTGGTTGAATGGATACCATATAATAATTTGCAGAATATTAAATATTTGACTAAAGGCGGGTGTTATGAAATTTATTCGGCAAAATGGATTGAGGGAAACTATTGTCGTTGGGATGTTAAAAGAAGAGAATTAAAAAGATTTGGTGTATTTAATGTGATCCTTAAAAAGTTAAAAAATGTCGAAAGTGCCAATAGAAATTGGTTTGAAGAGGTAAATTTTTTTTAATCATTATTTCTAATTGTTAAATCGTTATATAATAAATTTTAATATTATATACAGGCAGAATCACATTTAACGCTAAGTAACAAGTGGAATGAAATTGTTATATGTTTTGGTATAACTCAAGATCCATCTAGTAAAGAATATTTTCTTGTAATGAATGAAATGGACACAGATTAAGAAAATATCTACAAAATCATCATCAACAACTTACATGGAAAGAAAAAATGAAAATTACTTTTGATATCATCGATGCACTTGAAAGAATTCATAGAGAAAATGCGGTTCATAGGGATTTGCATTCTGGAAATATATTATTATATTCTCAACATTATGATGCGTGGTATATTAGTGATCTTGGATTTTATGGTCCTGCTGATAAGCCATTAAATTGCATCTATGGAAACCTTCCTTATATAGCTCCCGAAGTTATTGCTGGAAAGGAATATACCAAAGCATCTGATGTTTATAGTCTTGCAATGCTTTTGTGGGAAATTTCGTCCGGAAAACCACCGTTTAGTGATATTGAAAATGATTATGAACTCGCAATGAATATTGTAAATGGTATGAGACCAAAAATAGCGTCAGATATTCCTTTAGAATATAAAGACTTGATGGTAGAATGTTGGAATGCTGAATCAAAAAGACCCAATATTAACGTAATTTGGAATAAAATATTTAGAATGATTAAATTAAATTATGAATCAATTGATGAAAAGAAAAGTATTATTAAAAAGTTCTTTAAGAAAATTAATTCATCTCAACAAAAAGCAAGTGATAATACAGAAATTAATAGCCTAAATAGTAATTATACGAGTAGCAGTAGCAAAAGTAAAGTTTATAAATTTGAAAATTTTCCTGAACCAAGAAATGCAACAGAAGGTAAATTTTTAACAACTGATTTTTATGATTTATTACAATATAACTTAATTTTATATTTAAAAAACAGAAGAGCAAGAAGGTAATTTTTTTTCTGTTTTAATAATATATTTGAAATAATATTTTTTTTTCAGACCAGGTTTAATAATGTTATTTCATCATAAAAGCATTTCATAGTAAACCATACGACTTTAATATTCCTGATAATAGTAAGTATTGATATTTTAGGTAATTAGCATAATATTTTATTAACTATTTCTCATTTTTAGTTGATGACCTTACAAATTTTAGAGATAAAGCCTCATCAAGTCATTTTAAAGGTAAATAAATAATAAGTATTTAATATTTTAAAATTAACATCATTAAATTTTTTTTTAGAAATTAGTAAAAAATTATCCGTAATACCTGAAAAATTACGAATAAATTCAATTTATGGTAAGTAGGATTTTATAAAATTGTAAAGCTAGCTATTTGTTCGATATTTAATAGACATTTTTTGTTATCAGATCTTCAAAATAATTATAAAAGAGAAGCAACGCATTTAAAGAAGTATATTATTGAAATTGACGGTAAATAGAATAATTTATAATCATCATAATATATTCTTATTCTTATTCTAATCATTTATTTATAGATGACGATGATAATTCAAATCTTCATTCAGAAGAACAGGATAAATTGGAAATTCCTGACGGTAAATGATTCGATTAAATAAAAATTTTGTCATATAACAATTTGGGTCTGGTACGAAATCCCGATCGACACTATAAACAAAATCCCAAAATTGAAACTAGGGACCACATTTTAATAAATAACATATTATTCAAGTTATAAATGTAATTAATTTAGAAATATCTTTACTTCATCAAAAACACAAAACATATTAAGATAAAAAAAAAAAAATAATGAGCAGATTGTGATATAGCTTGCAACAATCTCTTAACATTAGAGAATTAAAGGTTTTATTTAAAGTGAAATAATAATCCGAATATTATCATATATTATTTTTCATTCTAGATAAAATATATTAAATCTCTCCCTCCCGCCCTTAAATATAAACAATCTAAAAGATAAAGAAAATTCATCTTAAGTAAATTCTAAAAGAAATATAATTGTATTTGCAAAAAAAAATATTAACATTGTTTATAGATTAATACTAACTAAGTACTAAGTTGAATTCGAAATTGACCAGGATACTTTAGTGAAACAACAGGATAAAGCTTTGATGGTAGATTTTCCCATTCCGATACCACCGGATATTTTATACCATTAACTGAAAACGCACAAGTCCTTTTAAACATATCTAAATGAACAGTAATTTTGCTATTATCTTTTTCAAATGAAGGACAATACCCTTTTTTACTTGAGTCGAAATGAAAAGTCGAACCCGTTGAACCTAAAATCCACGCAGTCCTTTGAACGCCCGCAAATCTTTCATAATCAAAATCTTCTGATGCACATACCCCGATCCAAGAATATCCACA